CAATACCCACTCGATACTCACGCAAACCCTTTTATCACCCCATCCGAACCTCGATTTCAGGCATTGGCTCGATTTGATCACGCACGTGACAACCTCGATTTCATGTTGCCCTTATTTGGACTGTGACGTCACGGGGTCATGTTTTGCTCACCAAGGGGCCATCTTGGATTTTACAATTTAAGAGAATGTATGGGAAAATCTTGGTCACGTGGTATGATCCCTGGCTCCTGATTGGTTACTGCCCCTATGAGCGCTATTTACTACTAGTGTAATTTAGACAGTTTTGCAATGGGGTGGGAAGGTGGGTTCCCCCCAGCAATGACATCACCAAAATAATGACATCATAATCAAAAAATAGAATAGTGACATCATTGGGATGGAAGTGTGTGGATGGTGTCATTGGAAGTATTATGTCATAAACTGAAAACTGCATTTATGGCATCATTTTTTATCGTAAGGTGACGTAATTTCCATTTTCGGAAGATGATGTCATCGAGGCAAAGAGCTAAAAATAGATTAGATGATGTGTAGAGTAGTTTTAAGGGATGACATCATGAAATGGAGCCCCTGCCTAATTTGCCCCATTATTGAGTATAGAATAGGAAGAAATACATTTCAGCAGGATAATTTCATAACAGAATAAAATATACCTTATTTCTATTACGTGTAATTAATTTTTGGACCTGGGTAATGTTAACTATAAAGGGGACATGGAAATTTCTTTTCTGCGTTGGGACCATCAATTTGTATTTACACCTTGAATAGATGCTAAGCAGAAAAGAAGTTTTTTTTGGACATGATTACTATCACCTTTAGCACCTTGGAACAAAGTCTATATGAATTGTGGTTTCATAGTCATTATGAGAACCTACATGTATGATCGTGAATAAATCAATTTCTATTTAGTCTATTAACTTAATAGACAAAACAAAAGAACTCTGTTTGTTAAGAAACAGTACAGTTCTCCATTGCTTCTTTGTTATTGCAAAATAATCTCCCTGGGGTCATTAACGCCTTAAGTTATGCAAGTAGACAAGACCAAGAAAATGAATGAAGTGATCATTACCAATGTCCTAGTTTGTTCTTTCAATCCCATCATGATCCAGTACACCGACTCATACTTCGTACTCAGAGCCTTTTCGATAATTCTGTTTACACTGGCTGTGAAGTTACTAGACATATATTTCAATGTAACTTCAAGGTTTACATAAGGTGCGTTTCTTTAAGAAAATCCAAGATAGGATTCTTAAATCCAAAAGAATCTGAAAACGGATTTTTTGTTTCTTTACTAAACAGATCAATCCAAGATCTCTGGGATCATGGTGCGTCAAAGGAACCGAAGAATCCACTCCCAGTTTGGATTCTTCGGTTCCTTTGACACAAAATGATCCGAGAGATCGTAGATTGATCTGTTAAATAAAGAAATCTGTTTTCGCATTTAAGAATCCAATCCTGGAATTTTTTAAAGAAACACACCCATAGACAGTCTAATATCCTATAGTAAGCTCCTAATCCATCTTCTGAGTGTCTTCCAACTGTTTTGGGAAAACGCTGTTCTCTAAATAGTCTGTTAAGTAGAAACTTTCGTTTATTCACTGCTAGTTCCATAGCCTCTTTTCAGTTGAAACCCTCAATGTCATCAAATTGTTGTTTTGTGTCCATTATTTCTCTGATGTGGTCTTTCTTGAAATCATGCATCCATGTTAAACCCCAAAGTACAAGATTATTGTGAGAAGGTGTGGCTGGATTGTTCTGATCATTGGGCTCATGCATTTTGCGTACAACAGGCTCTAAACATTGTGAATACAAACAATGACATTGAAGTGCAAAACAAAGTATTCAAGCACACCTATCTGCCTAGATCCCTTGACAAATGTTTGGAATCGTGGTGATGAGCATGGAGTCATTTGTTCCAGATTCATATCAACATTACCTAGACACAAAACCGCAACTAAGGGGTTCCTACTGAGCATTCAACTGTGATATACCAGACTATCTGTATACCCACATAGGTGTGGAACAAACTTTGGATAAATGTATTTGTGGGGAGTTTTTTTCAATTCAACAGGCTAAGATATTGGAAACATTTTGGTCAAGGTACAGGATATATCAGCATTGGCTTTTTGAAAACATGCTCACAATCTCGTGAAACTCCCAAGAACTTACTTTTCTAAGTTTGCATTCTTTTTCCTTTCAAAGAAAGGCCACTGAGTTACGTGCCACAGAAGAAAACAACATGACATTTGTGACACTACAAAGCACGTTGATGAACTACCTAATTGTGGCGAGAACAGCGCCTAACACCAGGAAAGTTAGATTCCTTTTGAGGAAAGAAACAAGCAAGGCCAAACAAAACAGACAACGACTTTGTCAGTAACCAGATGATTTCACCATCTGCTTCTAACTGCAGTGATGCAACTTTGATTGAGGAAGAAATCACCTCTGAAGACAAGTAAGGATAAGTTGCATGCCCCTGCAAAAACTTGTCACAAGTACAACTTTTGTCTGTGTACTTACTTTTTGTCAAAATTTATCAAGTGGTACTGTCTCAATAAAGGTAGAGGAAAAAAATCCATTACAGTCTACAATTTTATTTGGCAATGAGACAAAATCGAGCAATAAAAGTGACGATTTTGATGAAATTGATGGATACTCAGAGCCCTTGATTTCAGATCTGAGAGACCAGAAAGAACCAAAGAGTAGCAATGACGATTCTGACTCATATGATGGCTAATGGCCATTAACAGATTCGTAAATAGCACCAGTAAGTTCAAGAAAAAATTTAACCCCTGCCCCCCTCTTGCACCAGTGGTTTTCGTTGATGAGTTTTCACCCATCATCCACTTTAATAACAAACAGTTTGACATATCTGAGGGTAAAAATTAAGGGAATCTAGTGAGTGACTGGTCAATGAGGAAAAATGGTCATCCTTGGAATGAAACTGTTGTTATGATTAAAGATTGAATTGCAGCCAGGATGAGACATAATTAAAAATTTCGATAAAAATGTTCGCTGGCTAAAAAATATCAAAACATGAGCTTTCGGCTCTCAATCTAGAGCCTTTGACGGATAAAAATGGAATGCAAAAGATAAAAATATATGCAAAAAAGGCAAGATAAAAATGATGAGAAGAACAAAAACAAAGTGAAACTGTGTAAATTAGGTGACTATTGTTTAAAAACAAGTACTATACTGGTTTGGAATCAGCTTAGAATTATTGTCAGCATGCTTGGTAGCAGAGGTGTGCCAAGCCTCCAAAGTTTTTGTAATGCGAAAAGAGCCTTTGTCAATGACACTAGAGTTATCAAAATCCATGTGATGGTCGAATGACCACGCATGTTTTGCAATGTTTGATCCATTAGTACATTGTTTGACATTCCTAATGTGTTCTTTCTTGTGAGTTTCAAAGCACCGACCAGTTTCACCTACATAACTCCAATCACAGTCAGCAATAATAATACATGCCTAAACATCATCTCACACTGGGCATCTTTAAGGTCTTCAAGATTCATTCTCGGAATATCCAGTTTTGTTGATGGAGGGAACATGCATTCGATAAGCAGCAGATCGAGATCATCATCATCATTGCTACTAGAATCAAAGCTGTTCTCATCAAAGAACATTGCTGCAGTGATGTTGTTAAACTCTCTCCTGGGAAGAGTTGAAGTGTGTTTACACTCTCTGACATCATAAGCTAACAATAATATTTTCCTTGTTATTACCCAAAATTCCATGTTTTTTTTTAGAAAGAGCGCAAACGTCTTGCTAAATGCTCAGAAATGTCCTCACCTCTGACAGCAAACAGCTAACCTTAAGCTGCAGTTTGCAGTTGAGAGAAAAAACCTGTAGGTAAAGATCTGTATTCTTCGAAAACGACCGCGGCTTTGCACAAATTGAGAAGAGGAAAAATTCCGCAAAGGTGGTATTACCTAACAATTGGGTCCAAATGATCAGGGACACCAATCTAGTTTTATTGGATAGATATTTATTTTAAGACTTAGTAGGAAGAGGCTTATTTCTTTTCTAGTTGCGTGACAGTGAAAACGATCTGGAGATCTGCTGGTAAGTTAAAGCAGTCACCTGTCTCGATCTAGGTCTTAGACAATTTAGTGTACAGGTCTAATAATTCATCCACTCATTCACATTACTAAATTCATTGAAGGTCAAACAAATGGACCAGGGAGATTTCACAAATTGGAAAGACCACCTCTCCACAAAGTACAAAATTGCAAAGAAAGATCAAGACGGAAATCCATTAAGAATCAGGGAGATTCACTGGATGAACTACGGCTGGGGAGAGAATGGTGATGGACAGATGGTCCCGCATCCAGATGAAGTGTGGTTCCGCAACAGTTTCTTCTCTGACAAGCCATGGAAGAAGGTTAAAGTAACCACTTCACCACAGGTAGATTTGCAGCCATCTATCCTGTACAGAAGTCCACTTCACCTAAACCCCAACAAGGTAAAAGAACTCCAAAAAATGACCAGAAACCACATCACAGAGTCAGAATAAAAGTTTTACACGAGCTTAAAATCTTCCACTGCAATCAAGGACTCAGGCGATGATGAATAGATGTAGAATAAATCATTAATATGAATGATATAATAGTAGGTGATGACCGAAATATAAATATTATCTGAGATTAAATAGAGAACTTAAACAATGAGGACAATGCCAAGTACAAAAGGAATTTATATTTTACCTTCAAATTTTGCAATTGCCTAGACTTTTTTAGTGCTCCTTATGATCTCAAAACTTGATCAACCTAAATATGTAAAGCTAGTGTTCCAGGGATTTCACTTAATGACAGGCTTTTTAAATATCGAAAGTTAACACATAAGTATTTTAATACATATGTAACAGCTTTCTACAAGAGAGCATTGTTAAG